TTCATTTCACAGGTGTTGCATTTTTTTTTTTTTTTTTAACAAATTGAAGGTAAGGCCCTCCAACAGCAAAAAATAAAAAAAATATATATATATTTGACTTGCTGAAAATGGTTAGCATGTTTAGCAACAAAGTACTTTTTAATTAAGGTATATACATTTTTTTTGGTAGAGATAGTGCTAATGCATACTTAATAGACTACAGTATAATGTAAATGTAACTTTTACATGCACTGGAAAATAAAAATATTTGTGTGACTCAGTTTATTGTGATACGTACCTTATTGTAGTGGTCTGGAACTGATCCCACTACATAGGAAAAGGTATTTTATTATATATAATATTTCCCAGGTATGCCTGTATATCCTTCCAAAATTAAAAACATTTATTCAAACAAGTACATATGCACACATGTTCATAACATCACTATCCACAATAACCAAAAGGTGGAAGTAGTCTAAATGTTCATCATTAATTTATAAACAAATAGTGGTTTATACATACATTGGAATATTTTTCAGCCATAAAAGAATGAAATACTAATACATGTTACAATCTGTATGAACATCAGAGACATTGAGCTAAGTGAAAAAAGTCAGACATAGGTCACATATTGTATAATTCCATTTATAAGAAGTATTCATAATAGATGAATCCATAATGAGAGACTGGTGGTTGCCGGGGACTGGGGTTGTGAGGTAGTAGGGAGAAATTGCTTATTGGGTTAGGAGTTTTACTTTGGAGTGATAAAACATTTTGGAACTAGGTAGACATGATGATTGCACAAAATTGTGAATTAACTGAAGGCCACTGGATTATTAGCTTTAAAATGGTTAATTTTATGTAATGTGATTTTCACCTCAATAAGTTATTTTTTAAATGTGAATTGATATATAAAATAATTAATTGCCTGTAAAAGCAAAAACTGTAAATAACCCAAATGTTCATTAGTAGGAACTGGCTGAATAGATTCGAGTATCCATACACTGGAATACTACAAGAAAGAATTAGGAAGCGCTATGCAACTGATGTGAAAAGGTCTGTTATCTTACTAAATGATACATCTTACAGACCTTTTCACATTCTGCCGTTTGGTGGATTTACATATTAGCCTTTTATTATATAGGATAATGAAATTGTTTGTATCTCACAATGTATACAGAAACATGCAACATGGATAAATTTAAATATCATTAAATTTATGGGAGGAAAAAGCTAAGGCATGGAACAGTTCATATGCTACTATTTATGTTAAACTATGGGGGCAAAGGACACACAACTGAGTAGTGGAATTGGGTATGGTAATTCTGTTTAACTTTTTTGAGGAATCACTAAACTGTTTGTCATGCCAGTTAAATATTTTAAATTCCCATCAGTAGTGTATAAAGTTCCTAAAATTTCTATAACACTTGTTATTCCTTAGCAACACGTGATTTCCTGAGCTTTTATTTTTATTATAGACACACTAGTGGGTGTGATGTGGTACCGCATTGTGGTTTCAATTTGCATTTCCCTAGTGACAGTTGATACTAAGCATATTTCCATGTGCTTATGGCCATTTGAATATTTTGTTTGGAGAAATGTCTGTTCAAGTCCTTTGCTTATTTTTTCTTGGCTTATTTTTTAATTGTGTTGTTTTGCCTTTTATTAAGATATGAGTTCTTTATATATTCTTGATATTTAAAAAATATTTTCTCCCATTGTTTAGGTTTTCTTTTTAGATTCTGATGTTTTTGATGCACAAGTTTTTAATTCTGATGAAGTCCAATTGTTGATTATTATTATTTTGTGTGTGTGTGTGTGTGGTTTTGGTGTCATAACTAAGACTCAATTGTTTAATTCAAGATAGTGAAGATTTACCTGTTTTCTACTAAGATATGTATGGCTGTAAGCCCTTATACTTAAGTCACAGATTCATTTTGAGTTAATTTTTATTTATGGTGTTAGGTAGGAGTTCAACTTCATTTTTTTGCTTCCTATGGAGTTGTCCTAGCACCCTTTGTTGATAAGATTATTTTCCCTCATTTGAAAATATGGGAAAATTCCCTCATATGGCGCCTCTATCATATTTATAAAAGAAAACATTTAAGTCAAGCAGGTCTTTTGATCAAAAAGTACCACAAAGAAAGTGAAAAGAAGCTCAGCCAGAGAGCAACATATAGAACACAAAATGATTTGTAACTTTTTAGTGTGTAAAGTGAACTTAAAAATCAGTAAAAATCAGTAAGTAAAAAAAAATCATCAAAACATTTATTTCCCAAAGAAGAATTTTGAGTCATAAAGTAGGAAAATATAATTAACATTATTCTGTCTGTATGCATTTTAAACCATAGGTTTAAGTGGTAAATTATATAGGATTACAGACTTATTTGGAAAAGTTATAAAGAAAATCAAAGAAATAAGATACAGGATAGCAGTTACTCCTGGAAGTGGAGAGAAAAATATGATTAAGGAGGCACATTGAATTAGTGAAGATACAGATTTAGCTGCATTTGACAAAACCCCAAATAGTGACATAACCAAGATGAGTTTGTCTTGTAACAGACTGAAAATGCTTTCTGCCTGGCGGCTGTTTTGAGCATTCCTCTCTCCACCTGGTTACAGTGACTGCCACCACAGCTCTGTCACAGGTCGCCAGGGGAGGGAAGATCACTTCCTGGCCTGCACCTGTGACTTCTCTCCATGGCCCTTTGGCTATAATTCAGTCATTTTTAGAGGAAGAAAGCTTAGCAGATGTGCCCAGGAAAAACTCAGGAGTTTTGAACAGGGTGACAGGGCATTTACCAGGAGGAAAGTAGCAGTCTCTTTTACAGGCTTAGTTGGGTGGTATAAAAGGCAAAAGGCATCAAAGTTATTGATACTGTTCTATTTCTTAAAGTAGGATGGTGAGTATAGGTATTTTTTAAAAGTTATTTAATGCCTTTTCTATTTTCTTTTGCATATATGAAATGTTTCATTGTTAAAGTTAAAAAATGTAGCGGATATTTTTCAGGATTTTACTTGAATTTTATGCAGCATATGGTATTGTTGATCACATCCTCTAGACATTTGCATTTTTATTGGCGAGAATCTCCTGGTTTTTCTCTTATTTCTCCATCTATTCCTTTTCAGCCTCCTGGGCTTCCCTTTCTCTGCAGGGGGACAAAAAGGCCTTTCCTAGATGCCCCTCACTTGTCTCCATAATTATTTAGGATAGTTTCAAATTGGCTAATGGGTTTCCTGGATTTGGAAAAATTTCAAGAGAAAACTAATTATATGGTAAATATTCAGATTTTATTAATTTTTATTTATAATGCTCTAGCCATATATGGAAAAAGGGAGATTAGCACATTTTTTTCTTTGTAATTTCAAATAAATGTTCCTTATACCTTTCTTGAACTACATGGTAAAAGAGCAAATAATTTTAATCAAAAGTACAAATGCATCTTGTAATGCTAGAAATAGCAACTGTTCCCATAAGTTTATACATGTTATATAATTAGAATAAATCTTGGAAATGACTCACATTCTTATAATCACGTATCCACATGTATCCAATGTGCTAGACCACTCAGCAAAATGATTGCATTTCCTAGCTTTCCTTGCAGGTAGGGGTGACTATCTGGTCTAAGTCATGGCCAAATGGAATGTAAACAGAAGTCATTATGTAATACATTTTAGCATATATTAACAGGGACTGACTTTCTCCAATGAAATAGTCTCAGACATACACACATTTGAAGTTTTATTCATTTCAAATATTTTTTAATCAAATAGGATAAAATTCAGTTGTGTCAACATTCAAGTTTCAACCATAGGTCAGGGACGGTGTCAATTCTGGGAATACAAAACTAAACATTATAGTCGCAACTTTCAAGGAGCTGATGGTCCAGAGGAAATCTAGCTGGTAGAATAGATAAGCCCAGTTGCTATGGGAACACAGAGAAAATGTCATTGGGCCAGGAAGTTCAAACTCAAGAGTCAACAAACCTAATAAAAAATGATTCAAAATGGCATCTAAGGGTCTCAGTTATTATAAAAATTTAAATATCAGTTACCTGAAAAAAAATGAATTCTAATGTTATTGTCAAAGATATAGTTACTAGTAAGAGTGAGGAAAGGAACACAAGTGACCTTTATTAATTTTTAAAGTATTTTCTCTATTTTATAGATTTTCCCCATTGGTTATAAATTTTATAACCATAAAATTAATTTTAAAACTTAGAGTGGGGCAAAAGTATGTTTACAGTTGTTCATATGGAAAATACAATAATAAATAGTAATACAAGAATAAACTGTTTTGTATACTCAAAACTATAAACCTATTTTTGCCCCATCTTGCACTTTTTCTTATAGCAACATAATTTTTTTGATTTAGTAACATGATTTTCTTGAGACTCCTGGACTCAACTCTTTATCTGAAGAAGCTCAAATTCTTGTAACATATTGCATGTTTCCCACACTTTTTAAACGTTTTATTTTAAAATAAATTTTATTTAAACATGTAAAATACTCATAGTACTTCATTGTTACTCCAGTGTAGGTAGATACTGTCTGTTACTAGAATTTAAGGCAGAGACTCCAGTTTCACTCATTAGTTGTAAAAGGTTGCAAGGAGGAAGCGAATCCTCAGTCCTTGCTCACCATCAGAGTTCTTCCTGTAAATGGACAGTAACCATTTTCTTTTCATCCAAAGTTTCTCAAACTCATTTCTGAGATTTTATAAGATGGGAGAAAGACCCATTTTTCATAGACAATGCTCTTCATTTTGAAAAACTTAAAATGGACTAGTCAAATCCCATCACATTCATGGCCTTTATAACTCTCTCACTCTAGGTCTTTCTCCCAATAGAGTCAATAAAAAGGGAAAAAACCACACACAGTTATTTCTCTAGGTGACTTAAGCCAGGACTTCTTCCTCTGTTACTTCTTCCTCTGATATTGTATTATAACTATTATGTTCTCTCTGGTTCAGTTTTCAAGAAAAAAAAATGAGGTCTTTAAATTATATTTTCCCCTTGTAGACTTTGCCTTCAAAAGAAACAACATCTTTAAATACTGCGCAAATGCCTTGCCTGCAGTCAGCTTCAACTTGGAGTAGCTGTGAACACAATTCAGAGTCTCAAATATTAAGCGAACATGTATCAGAGTTAGACTATTCTTTCCATCCTGTTCTGTCACTGCCATCCGGTAAGCCTCTTTACAACGAAATTTCTAAATTTCTAAAGAATATTTTCTATGGTGAAATCTAATCCTGTAAATAAAATGAATCTATAAAAGGAATCAATAGGGTTTAATCTTTGTAAAAGATTCATTTTGTGATTCATAATACTAGTAAACTAAGTAATGCAAAAGTTGACTTTTTCATAAAAGACTGCAGCTGATTCATAGTGGTTTTTCCTTCAAGTAATGAAATGCAAAGGTTGTGGGAGTGGAATGGAGGGATCTTAAAAAGAATCAGTCAGGTTTGGCTGTATGTTTTATTAAAGACTTTCAGGTACATTTGTTTTCATGTGAATATTTACGTCCTATTTTAGTTGTTCATCATTAGCATTTGCTTATTCAAGACGCCAGTAATTCCAAAATACTATTAATTTGTTTGGAAGAGTATTCTGCTACTTCTGAAAGTTGTGGCTTTTTAAACTTTTGCTTATTTTTCTAAAGCTTTGTGCTATTTATAGAAAGAAAGCAATGTTACTGAACCTGTATGAGTGATGTTCACTAAAATGTTTTTTTTAACTGTATTTTTCCAGATGTGCCTCTTCATTTTCACTTTGAAACATTGTTGAAAACAACTGAAATAAAAGGAGATCTTGCTGAAAATAAATTTGTAGGAGACTGTATCATATCTCCATCCCCTGGTATGTTACTTACAAATCTTGTACTTTCTATATATCTTTTATATCTTTCATATACTTACTTTTGCTTTAGAAGGAAATAAAATTTAACAAAGGAATAAATGTAAATTCTTAATTTTTAATATTTACTTTTCACAAATAAGACACACACACACACACACACACACACACACACAAGAAAATACATTGGAGTAACCCTAACAAGAAATGTGGTACTTATTGAAAGAGAATTATGAAATATTATTATTAAATATTGAAGGGAATTTAAATAAATGCGGATAAATAGCATTCCTGGATAGTAAGATTAATAAGGATATCATATCAGTTCTCCCTGTTAGTTTAAATGTAACTTGGAGCTCTAATACAAATTGTTTAACTTAACCAAATAACTGTGAAGCCCATTGGGAAGAATAAATGAGGATATAGAAAAGGAATTGCTGGAAAAGTGTTGAGAAAAGCTAGCACAACCATATATAGAAATATGGCAGAAACTTACAATAGTTTAGATTCTGTTTGGCTTACATTTAAGGAAGTAGATCCAAGAAGCCAACTAACAGCTCATACTTTATTATATAAGAGAAGAGAGCATGGAAACCTCTTCATTGAAGAGGATTGTTGGTCTTTTGGGGAAAACTTTGCACAGACATTTCACACCATATATCAAAATAAATTCTAGCTGTTTCAAGAATTTTAAATAACTAAAATTATAAAACTTAAAAAAATTAGAATGAAATGTTTTGAGTACTCTGAATGGGGGTGGAAACATTATACTTGGAAGGAATCAGAAAAAATACATTTTTACTATCTGCAAAGCTAAAATCTCAATGTCAAAAAGTCATAGAAGATGTTTTACTTTTAAAAGAAATTATTTCCAGAGTAAAGAGTCATCTACTTCAAAAACTCAAGAACCGACTGAATGCCTGTTGGAATTGAAGTTTGAAGGTAGTAGATTTTAAAATAAATTTCTAAAACCTGGTAGCTTTTACAAGTACCCATAATAAAGAGTCAGATTATGTAAAGGAATTTTACATAGACACACTGACAATGAAAATTTAACATATCTAGGATTAAACTTAACAAGGACTTCCTGTGGAAAACATCAATTTACTGAGAAACATGAGTATGTGCCTATTATGAAGAGAAATATCCCATTCCTATCAATACTGTTTTAAATAACTTAAGATGTCATTTTCCCCAAAATTAATTTATATGTAGTTCTAAACAGAATTACAGAGGTATTCTTCTTTTGAAAGTTTTTCTGAAGTTTATCTCAGAGAGTGAATACTAAATAGCCAGTAAAAATTTTAGAAAATAAGGTATTAGATAACAAAATGTATTATAATCAGAACAAGGAATTTATATAAGGAGCTTAGAGACAGCCCAAAGGGTTTATTATACAACTATAGGCCCGGTGCATAAATTCATTTCCGGGCGGGAGGGAGGTAAGGGGGGAGATTTCTCAGCCCAGCCTGTGCCCTCTCAGTCTGGGACCCCCCAGGGGATGTCCATCAGCCAGCCTTGGCCTGACCCCTCTCCAGGGATGGGGCTTAAGCCAGCAGTCAGGCATCCTCAGTCTGGGACCACTCACTCCTTACCACTGCTGCTGAGCTCACCAGCCATGAGCCTGGCTTCTGGCTGAGCAGTGCTCCCCTGTGGTAGTGCACCGACCACCAGGGAGCAGCTCCTGCATTGCACATCTGCCCCCTGGTGGTCAGCGCGCATCATGGCAATGGGTGGTTCCACCAGCAGTTTCGCCTTTCAGTTGATTTGCGTATATGGGTTTTATTATATAGGATGTGATGGTGTTTCCTATCAGTGTGGACAGGATGGCCTAGTCAATAAGCAATGATAAGCAATTCTTAGGAAGGATTTCTTATATGCTAGTACTGGTTGGAGGGCTTTATATTTGTTTGCTTTAATCTGTACAACCCTGTAAGGGAAGCATTACTTTTCTCCACGACTAACTTTCCCCAGAACACAGATGAGTAGTGGTAAAGCCAGGATTCAAATCCAAGCAGTCTGGCTCAGAGCACATGCTTTAACCAACTCAGTTTCTTCTGTAATTAGTGGCACTGAACGATAACTTTTGGGAAAAGATAAAATGAAATCTCTCTGCCTTACACAGCACATTAAAACAAACTTAAGATGGATAAACATTAAAAAACTGTCTTATGAGTTAGAAACACTAAGTGTATTCAGTGACTGCTTATGTGCCAGACAACTTTGTCTGGTTACAGCAATAAATTTAAAGATTATAATCATCAATTATTGTCAGAATGTAGTTAAAATAGGATTCTCGTATATTTGAGGGAGGAATTGACACAACCTATCGGGAAGTATTGTGCATTATATCACAAGGCCTTTAAAGTGAGTATTTTTAAAATAAGACCATGGAGGGGAAAAGAACCTGTTGGTGTACTTGCTCACAATCAATTACATGTTAACTCTGTATTCTGATCCAATAAATCCATTTACAAGAACCTAACTAATCCTAAACATGAAACCACCCTTATTAAAGAATATATTTAATATATTTTGTTAATAAAAAATTTTGGAAACAACTTGAAGAGCATAATAAGGATATGGTTAACATAGTGGAATATACAGCTTTCAAAAATATCTTAAGTTCATGTAAAGAATAGTAAGTGATGTAAAAGGACAAAAGGTTATAACCATGTAAAAACATTACTTTTTATCTTGCAAATGCAGCATGTGGGCCTTTTGAGGATCCTGATTTGAACTCAGCTGTATGCTCACACACCCAACACAAGCACAATTTTTGAGACAGAGATTTGAACATTGACTGGATGTTGGCTATTAAGGAATGGTTATCTTTGTTATATGTAATAATGCATGTTATTACATAAATACACACACTTTGAGAGATATTCAAGTTGACATGTGTACATGATATGTCAGGGATTTACTTTAAAATACTCGTAGCAAAAAAGTGATGGGAAGAGTTGAAACAAGATTGGTTACCAATTTACAAATTTTAAAAAAATATATTTTATTGATTTTGTACAGAGAAGAAAGGAGAGAGATAATCAATTTTATTGATTTTGTACAGAGAAGAAAGGAGAGAGATAAAAGAAACATTGATGAGTCATCGATCAGCTGCCTCTTGCACACCCCCCACTGGGGATATGCCCGCAACCAAGGTACATGCCCTTGACCGGAATCGAATCCAGGATCCTTCAGTCCCCAAGCTGATGCTCTATCCATTGAGCCAAACCGGTTTTGGCTAATTTATAATTTTTTGATGCTGAATGATAGTTCATTAACTTACTTTCTTTTTTGAAAAATTTTCACAGTAAAGTTTGAAGAAAAAAAACAAAACCCCACTATGGACAAGGAACAATTGTCTATGCTTAGGAACAAAAGAATAAAAAATGGGAAAATACAGGTTTTTTTTTTTTTTAAATGATATAATTCTATTCTTTAGAATTTATCCCGACTTTTTAAAAAAAAAATAGGAAAAATGCATGCATGAAATAATTATTTCAAGAATGTCCATAACAGAAATAACATCATGACAACACCAGAGAATAGTTAAATTATATTCTCTCTAATCAGAGGAATGTTAGGCAACCATCTGGAAAAATAACAATGAAGAGTGAGTTAGCAGATAAAAAATGTAATTATACATCTATCCAAATAAAAATTTCATTTGAAATGTGGAATGATTGAAAGGAAATATACAAAAATAAAATTATATGCTATTATGTGAGATGATTTATTCCAATGTTGCTCCTTTACCTGATTTTTACAAAATCAGGCAGTGTAAATGTGTTAGGCACAGAATATCTCAGTAATGTAATGACATGTTAATAATTAAAAATTAAGAGCTAATAATAGGACATTTGAGTTGAATGTTGTATTAGGCAAATCAGTGAAGGAATCTTAGTATATCAATCTCTCCTCCCTTACCACTCTCAACCCTATTAATTGGGTTTTATCCTATATAAGTATCTTAAGTAGCTAGTCATAAATTTTTTTTTACTGTTAATGATTTCTAGAGAATTAAGTAAAATTAGAATTCAATATTTACTGAGTACCTACTATGTACCAGGTAGACTGTTAAGTGCTGAAGAATCAAAGGTGAAACAGGAAATCAAAATATAATTTAACAATTCTCTGGTGTTTTAATAGGGGGAAGCAGACACAAATAATTGAGATGACAGGTACCTCTACAAGTATTCTAAAAAGAGGAAGGTTAAGGGTGATGGGGAAGACAAGAGGAACTCTAATAAGATAGTGATGTATAAATTTACTTAACTGGAATTGAGAGGAAGTGTTCAAATAATTGCTTTTCAAACTTTAATGTTCAGATTACCTCGGGATATCGTCAGAATGTAGATTCTGATTCAGTAAGTCGGGAATGGGGTCTGAGATTCTTACACAAATGGCCTAGTATTTGTGTAGGGTAAATTGTGTGAAGGTAAGTAGAGATATGTTTATGTGTTTGCCTGAACTTGGATTTATCCTGGACTGTCTATAATAGTTGCCAACTGTGACAGCACTGCTGACTTCAGGTAACAAATAAAGAGCAATTGCAATGGGTTAAAGAGTGAATAGATGATCAGTGGCCAATTGTGAGGAAATAACGGAAAAATCCCAATTAAGTGCCTGTATACATCAGACTATTCAAAGTCATGAAAAATAAGACAGTGGAACGGTTTCAGATCCAAAAACACTTGAGACCTGAACTAAATTCAGTGATCAGAATTTCCTATAAGAATGTCATCAGAATTGGTGGAATCTGAATATGGTTATCGTTGTAATAATTTCTTGCTTTTGACCAGTGTGACTATGTAAGAGAATGCCTGTTTTGGAAATACATTTGGACATATAGGGGCATCCTGTCAGCAACTTAATTCCATTGGAGTTCAGAAAGATAAAGCAAATGTGATAAGTGTTAACATTTTGGGGAATCTCAGTAAAGGGTATACTGGTCTTATTTGTACTATTGCAAGTTTTCTGTGAATCTGAAATTATGTAAAATTAAAGTTTGTTACATTTTGGGCGGATAAGAGAGGAACAATGGCACAACCACACAAACCACAAACCTAGGGCTCAGCCTTCCTGCCCACCACGTTCCCATATCTAAACCCATTTCAGTGCGATCTTACAGATGTTTCAGATCTGCTACTCTGACTTCACCTCTACCACTATCACAGTCTAACTTAATGATAAGCCTTATCTATACCACTAAAAGGGTATATCTATACCCTTGTCTATTCCACCGAATTTCTTATTTCCTTCCAATCCCTGTACCAAGTGATATTTCCAGAATGCAAACCTAATGTCACGCCTGCCCTCCAACTCCATTCCCTTCAAATATTTGATGGAATAGTCTTAAGAGAAACCCTACCTACATAGACTGGCTCTTTGTTCTTGGTTCATTTCCATCATGCTTCCTTACTCCACACTACTGCTGCTGTTCTTGCCAAATTGTCCTCCTCCTTTTTGCCTTCCCACTACCATTCTTCTTGTGTTCAGATTTTAAATCTGTCACTATCTCTTACTCTAATTAACTTCTCTCAATAGTACCATCTTCCAGTTGCAGTTTTGGAGAGAATGCCTATAAACTTACATCCTGTGCAGGGACCATGCTGGTTTTTGCTCACCATGGTGTCCCCAGAGCATAATACACTGGCATGTAATTGGATCTCTATGAATTTATTAACAATAAATGAAAAGGGAAGACAGGAGATAGGAGAGACACTGGGTCAAGTTGTGTTTTAGGATGGAATCTAGTAGGAGAGCAAGAACCAAAGGCTGGGAGAGTTATTATAAACAGAACACAAGTCGTTAGGCTCTGAATTGTCATGTATTGCCTACTGTTTCAAGAGTTCATTGCAACCTCTAAGAGAAAAAATAGTAAGTATAAAGGAAGCTTTTGAGTAAAATTCAATAAAAGGCATCATCTTAGTGAAGATTAAGTTTTCTTCAAAATGTTTTTTGTGCTTTTAGAAAAAGAGATGAATTGCCTGAAATTTGTTTTAATATAACAAGAGTTGGCACTATTGGAATTCCTAAACATGCCAGGCACATAAGCACTTTAAAAACCCAACTTTCACAATTGAAGTTACACCTTCTTAGAAATGCATTTAGAATTATGTCTGGCATTTTTGTGTGTTTGTTTTAACATCTTTCTCTGCATTCTTTCTTTGGGTGGTAAGAAACCTTGGAGGCAACCTTACCTACATGACATCCTGGCTGTTTTTAATACCCATGCATATGGGGTATGTTTCCTGGTGAGCTTAAGCACTCAGTATATTGGTGTCTCCCATATAACCCTCTTGAAAGTACATATGTGCCCACATACCTGGTTGGTGGCTCACACACAGCTATAGGTCTTGGGCCTGTGGTGGTGCACAGACACTGGCTAGTTTGGTGTTTTCATTGTTATTTTTATTGTCCGTAAGTTTAACTCTCAAGCTGGTCAAACTTGTTTAACTTTTACTTTGTAATCCTTTCATTCCTTCAGTCCTTATTAAGCAAACTAGAGGCCCAGTGCATGAAAATTCATGCACTGGTGAGGGGAGGGTCCCTCAGCCTGGCCTGCCCCCTCTCTGTCTAGGAGCCCTCAGGGGTGGGAGGCAACCTGGTGATCAGGGGAAGGCGATGCCCCCATCACACCTCTGCTACTGCCCCTGCCAGCAGCACATGCCTCAGCCGGCCCTGGGCAGCTGAGGGTGGGTCTGGCCACACCACATGCCTGTCATTCTTTCTACACCCCTGGGTGGGGCTGAAAGGACTGGGGGTCTCCAGCGTGTCTTTTGGCCACGTGATGGTCAATTTGCATAGTCCCTCTTTATTAGATAGGATGTATCCTGCCTGGGATGAGTATTTCTTTCCTGTCTGTGGTTTCCTGTGGCCTAGTGTCCATATGGTCTCCTGATCCAGAAGATGGCTTGTTACTCCCAGGTTGTCTCCCTCACTAATCACAATGCCTCCTGTCCTGCTGCCTGTTGGTACCTATTTTCACCCATAATACCTGTCCTATCCCACTTAAAAAAAAGGGGGGGGGGGAGGGAGTAATTGGAAGCCATCTAGGAATCCTAATACTTTTCTCATAAACTATAATATAGTTGGTTTGTGCATCAGGATTTGCTTTATGTCTTTCTTTGCAGAAACCTTACCCCTTTTCTGGCAACTTTTAGGGTGTCTTCCCTGTGATGTGCTAACACTCCAGTTCTTGCAATCCAGGGTTAACATGGATTGTGAATAATATTTGGGCTACCATGTCTTCAAACATAGCTCCCCATTCATTCTTTCCTGTTGTCCCATCTTGGTTTGCCTTATTTTCCATCACTCTATTCCTTTGAGTTGTGGAATTCCTCTTCCAACCTACTGATTTGTTGTTCTTCAGCCCAATTAGTGAATTTGTTTTTAAATGAGTTATATTTTCCATTTCTAAGGTTTCTCTAGAGGCTTTCTACCTGTCAATTTGGGCAGTGTTAGAATCCTGAAGACTTATTAATCTATACTCCATAAACCACTTAAGGTAGTTCTTCCATTTGTTTATGCCTCTTCGTATTATCATGTTTGGTATTCAGACTGTTGGTCTTATGTTCTTAACATTACATTGGCTATCACCATTAAGACTGTTCTGCCTATTTTATGCAGTGCTTTTTGTGGAAAGGGTAGAAATTAGTGCTCTATATGAATTTTCAGAGGCAAAGATGGGCAGGACGTTTCAAAGTGGGGAACATAGACATTGCCTAATATATCAAAGCTCTCAGGTTTTATCTAGTAAAATACTTTCATAGGCCCTGCTGAGGTATTGAGATCCTGTTAGTTGCTCCAGATAATGGTCCTGCTGTTTCCCTTTCCTCCAGGTCTAGAACACCCTTGATGTTGATCACAATACTTTGCATGTGCTTTGGTAAGGAGTTTGCTCTTCAAATTCCATGTGTTAGTTCTTCAGAGATTTCTCACAAATTCTGCACACTGACATGTTTCCTTTTGCTTGCTAGTTTTGATGTATATGTGCATAGCTATAAAAATTTTGTCTATCATTTTTATTTAAAATTTTTCTTTGCTGTTGAGTATTTCAGATGTCCATTCCCACATCATAGATTCCCTCACTGCACCCACTCCTCCCAAGCCTTTGTATGCATATAGGAAAAGTTCCCCAGTTAATTTCTCCCCTTTCGCCCTCATCTTTCTTATGAAACTCATTGGTCTGTTCATGGTTCTGTCTCTCCGGATCTATTTTGTTCTGACCATTAGATTCCACTTGAGATTGTGTGATACTTATCTTTCTCTTAACATAATACTCTCCAGGTCCATCCATGCTATTGCAAATGTTAAATGTAACTTTTTTTATCCTTTCATAGTATTCCACTGGGTAACAAACGTGCCAGTCTTTTTTATCCACTTTTTTATCCTGCTGATGGGCACTTGGGCCATTTCCAAATCTTACCTATTGTAGATTGTGCTGTGAACATTGGGGTGCATATATTCTTTCTGATTGTTGTTTCCGATTTCTTACAATATATTTCTAGAAAGAGGATCACTGGGTCAAATGGGAGCTCCATATTTAATTTTTTGAGGAAATTCCGTACTGTTTGCCATAGTGGCTGCACCAGTCTGCATCCCCACCTGCAATGTACTAAGCTTCTCTTCTCCACATCCTTGTTAACATTTGTTTGTTGATAATAGCCATTCTGACAGGTGTGAGGTGTTTTAATTTGCATCTCTCAGATGATGAGTGATTGCATTTTTAGAGTGCTGTGCCATCCTGAAAAACCCATTACTGTTGATAGGCCATGCTTTTTTTTTCAATGTTGATGAGACTTTGGTGCTTTAGCCTACATACTGCTTTTCCCACTTATTTACACATTTCCAAATCCTTCAAGAAAAGCAGCCAACTGGATCAATCTAGCACTGGAAATATGACAATCATCATGAAGTAAACATTTACTCAATATGTATCTATCATATCAGATATCCCTCTAATGCCTATTATCTCTAAAGCAGCTAAGGCACAGAGATATTGACAAAGATTTAGAAAATGTATTTTTTTAAATAGTGAAAAGAATGATGGTAGGCACTGTAAAGTTGATGACATCTGTTCACGTTTTTAAGAGGTTCCAGGCTATTGTGATTCCTTAAAATCTTACTTAGTCCTGAATTATTTCCAGATTTATGGGTAAGCAGAAACTTAAAAATAACTTTTATATTTAACCAATATTTACAGAACCTTTTCAATAACATTTTGTACTTTAGAAGACTTTGAGAACAGATCGCTTTCATTTTTATCCTCTTCAAATAATGGAGCAACTATTGGATAATTCCTGTGGATGTATTTTGTATTTTCAGTTTATGAGTATTATATCTTGGTATCTAAGTATTTGTTATATGCAAATTTAAATGATATCAATATCATTAAGTAGAAACACTAATGTTCATTATCTGTATTAAGGAACTAAATTTGCATATTTTCTTTCTTTCCTTTTTTTTTTAGAATATAATTCTTCTCTGAGTCAATGGAGAAATGGATATTCCCCTACATGCAAGCCTCAAATAAGGTCAGAAACTTCTGCACAGCTGTTACAGGGGAGAAAGAAAAGACACTTGAGTGAAACAGCATTAGGTAGGTTAAAAGGAGGTTAGTACTAAAAACTGAAAATAAATTCTGATCTCAAAAAAAAATCCTTGCTTCATGGGAGTTTATAATCCAAAAGCCATGAATTATATAAAACATTCATGGTCCTATGAACATTAAACAGCACATTAATTTATCAATTCAGAATTGTGGACTGTGCATCCAACACTTTATGGCAAGTAAGGCTTTCCTTCCTTCCTGTCTAGAGCTATCTATTAACTATCATTCTAGATATGATTTAGTCTCAAAGATTGTGTTCTGGATTAAAATTATGTCAGTACAAGGCTGACATAGGACTTTATCACCATTTCTGGTACCTACTGTGGTGTCAATTCTCACTGAAGCTTCCTCAGAATTTTGAGAAATCATTTTTTAGTGCCTTGATAAATGGATATTCTCCTACATGCAAGCCTCAAATAAAATGACAAAATAACTTAGCCTTTGAGGAATGTTCAGACATGTGTACAGGAAAACTTGCATCTCTTAATTAATAAGATATATTATAAAATACAAATTACCTAAGATATAAAAGTTTCATTTGGATTGATGGAAACACAGGGATATAAGAACAAGTATGATACAATATTACTAAGAAGTAGATAACTCTTAAAGTGCATGACACCTGTACTAATTTCAATGTGGATAGTGATTTGAAAAAACTACAAAAAGGACATTTTTTAACAAGTGGAAAAATGTAAATATGGACAGATTTTACATTACACAGGAAATTTTTTTTTGAGATCCAAACTAAAGTAAAATAAACAAAGGCAGTATATAAGTGAATAAATTATATATAGGGAACCAAAACAAGTGGAAAACAGATTGTGAGACAAGAAAATATATTTTAAAAAAAAGTAAACTTATCCTGAGAAAAGAAAAATTTCATAAAAACAGGATGCTATAAAAAAAGAGAAAAAAAAACTTTTACAAATTAGTTGGTACTTTGAACATAGAACATTTTTCAAAAAATTAATGGTCAGATCAAACTAAAGAAATCTTCCAAAAAGTAGAAAAATGTATAAAACTGTCATTACACAAGCAAGGAAAATAATCAGGACTGTGGCAGAAAATTGAAATAATTGTGGGTAAAATTTTTTCCATTCCTTTTTTTTTTTTCCCGATAGGAATTTAAAAAATAATAAAAACCAATAAACAGAAATAACATGTTACCTGAGGAACATAAGTCACGTTAATGTTTGACATTCTCAATGATTTTTCCCATGGCAGGAGAAAGAAGTCAATTTGAAGAATTTGCTTTCCAATGCACAGAACCAGGATCCCACAGCAATTTTGCTGCAGTTGCTAATGCCAACATTCCATCAAGAACCCAGAATTCAACACAAGTAGGTTTTTGAACACTGAACTCTAAAACTGCTTTATAGATTTGGAAAAAAAAAAATGTTCTTTATTAATGGCCTTATTGACTAGCACATATTAGCATTAGAACTATATCCGAAAACAATAAATTTGATTATACTTTTTTAGTAGGAAGCCAATTGTACATTAATCCTTGCTTATGGCTTTTATTTGTTAGAAATAAATTTTATCATAAGCATCACTACTCCTTAACATGAAGATAAATATAACTTTACTAGTAAGAATCCAGCACTTGTGTTACTTTGCTGTTTATCTGGTCAGAGAGTGAAAATCAAAAGGAAGGCTTAAGGTCCTGGCTGGTGTGGCTCAGCCATGCACCCAGAGATGGCCAGTTAGGATGCATGCGTGGGTTGCAGGCTTAATCCCCAGTAAAGGTCGTGCAGGAGGCAGCGGATATTTCTCTCTAAAATCAATAAAAACTTTTTTAAATAAAAAAAGTGAGATGGATTAGAAAAAAGTGCTAAACTTGGGGACAAAAAAAATACATTAAGATTGTAATAATGGTATTTACTAAATGACTCACCAAGTATTTCATAGAAATACTTCATATCCCAGTCTTTTACAATAAAAAGTGAGCTTGTTGCCCGGTCTGTGTTGCTCGGTGATTGAGCATCAAACTATGAACTAGGAGATCACGATTAGATTCGTGGTCAGGGCACATGTGGGGCTTTTGGGACTCAATCCCCAGTGGAGGGAGTGCAGGAAGCAGCCAATTATAATCGATGATTCTCTCTCATTATTGATGTTGCTATCTCTCCCTCTCCTCTCCTCTGTGAAATCAATTTTTAAAGAAGTTTAATCATCTCACTGACATTTCAGGTGCTTCATATGATGGGAGTTTTGCATTTTAGGGCATTTCTAATTGTTATGATCATAAACATAAGTTTGTAATGTGTGCACACACAAATGTATACTGCATACCCACCAAAAAATACAAAGACTGTCTGGGTTATAGAAGACAAGTATGTTTTCTTGCCTTTTCAACATTTTATAGTCAGATTTTTAATGATGTATTTATAAAACTTAATATATAGGTATATTCTGGTGTAAAACTACTATAATCTTATTTTGCTGCAGAATACTGCACGACGGAGACTGAGAAGTGAGAGTTCTTATGACATAGATAATATTGTGATTCCCATGTCATTAGTGGCCCCAGCTAAGTTAGAGAAACTCCAATATAAGGAAATACTTACTCCAAGGTATGTATACTTGTGTCCATTTTATTTTTTCCTTCCTTTCCTTGAATAATTTAAATTTTCAGAGTGAAGCTAAAACTTTAATTAAAAAAAGATGCTGCTTTTCCCCTTCCTCCCACTTCCTTAACCATAGAGGAGAAATGGAGAAAATTTTATATTACTTTGCTGAAAAAAAGTGCCACAAGTTTCCTTCTCAGTTTCTATAAAGGATTGGGAATTCCTAAGACTTACTCTGAGATGGTTTTTTTTTTTTTTTTTTTTAAGTTCAGTATTTAGTTATCTATTATGTATATGGCACTAAAATGTACTTTAGGGATGCAAACAATTATACTTGAATTAATAATTGCTCTTTAAAATGGAGGTTTGCACAGGGTTGCAAAATGAGTTCAAAGAAAGCAAGTATACCTTTGCATGGGGTAGTCACACTGTAAGACAGTAACACCTGTGACGACAAAAGTAAGATGTTGATGTAGGGCCAAGTCAGCAATAAACACATTAAACAGAAAGATGGCTGGGAACACGTCATGGAGGGAGGGGACCTACTCACATAGGGAGACCCCAACAAAGGCACACAGACACCCGGGCAAGGCTCAGCCAGAAGACTGAGGCCTTGTGTAGGCCAATAAAGGTAATTCATGTTAGAGAAGAACTTGGAGCCAGATTGTGGAGGTCCAGAAATGCTTCCTACTGACAGCCGAGTGAGTCCATTTCTTTCAGCGATGATGCAAGCAGTTTCTTAAGAATATGAATCTGGCACTAGTAGAGATAGAAGAGGCTGGAAACAGAGGCATGAGCTGGTGACAACTCCCATAATTCCTACTGCGCTCTATTCCAGCTCATTTCTCAGTACTTCAAAATAATTATTGAGAGAATATGAGAATTCCTACAGAGAATTTTGATATATTCTACATAAGAGATAACATTTATTATTTGTGGTTATGTTCTATAGCAACGATTTTCAATTTATGTGATAGGCTAGAGATGATGGTTGAGCTGGTTGTTTAATATTGAGGAATTTTGTGATGCAGTTATTAAACTCAAAAGAAACCAAAATGGAAGTCTTCACACAAAGAATTGGCAAATACCCACAGATCAGGGGTTTTTTTTGTATGTGTGTTTATTGATAACTACTGACACAGAGCTACTGGACACTGATTTGTATCTTCTACAGCTGGAGGATGGTTGTTCTTCAGCCTTTGGATGAATATCATGTAGATGAAGAAGAGGTAAGTTTCCTTTCACTGATAGGATAACTATATTTAATACAGCATGAATTCTAATTTGAGGCTTATTTCTATTTATGAAAACTAAGTCCTTCATTAAGGATATTTTTATTATAAAATGTTCTGATACAAATAGAAACTATACCGTTTGCCTCCATGAGTTGTTAAAATATTGAATTTATGTGAATCTTTACATTCATTCCCTGTATTGTCTGTCATATTTTCATGTACGAGATTTAATCTTAATATTCTGGCCCACCATATTCAAAGTCTTGGAACAAAATGGTTGGAATTTGGAAATGTTGGACTTCAGAAAAATAATGTAGTACATACATCATGTAATACATGCAAGGGGTCTAGGACAATTCTCACAATCAAATATTAATGTTCCTATAATGAAGTAGAACAGCCTCACACCATCAGATAGATATCTATGTCACCAAATGAATTATGAAAACTTGGGGGTGCCTTGTTTTTCAGATTTTTTTGAACTGCAGGAAAGGGATTGAGTATCTATATGGGTAAAACATTAACCAAAGGGAATTAGAAAGTGATACAAAAACAGTGTATTATGTAAAAGACATTTTGTTTCTGTAAATGTTCCTATGACCACTGATTCTGTTTTTAAACTACCAAAATTTACTTTTTAATGCCCTTCTCATCTTTAATGCACTCTTCCCTAGTTCAGTATGATCCTAGCCAGAACACTCATGTTCTTTATAACCAAAGTCTTAAAACTCCAGGTAAGTCATTAAGTTAATTCTCCTTTATCTCAGACAATCAGTTTAACTTTTCTGTGATAATAACATATTCCTAGAACAGTATGCTACATATTGTGCAGTCAGTACAAACTTTTGAATAAATAGAGCATTGAGAATATTGTATGTAAATTGAAAGCCCTATGAACTTTTTGTAATCTACCTAAGTGACATAGTATTCAAATGTGACCCAATAGTAAAAAAAAAAAAAAAAAAAAAAAAGTTAAAAAAAAAATCTTAACACTCTCTTTTTAGGAATTTGAAGCTCATCTCCTAACATTTGTTCTCTTGACTCATGAGAAATTGACAACCTGATTGTATATTTCAAAATGTTTCTGATAAAAGCCAAACTTTTTTATTTCTAATTCCAGATAGAAGATCTTTCTGATGAAGTCTTCTCTCTAAGACACAAAAGATACGAAGCAAGAGAGCAAGCCAGATGGTCACTATGGGAACAAAGCAAGTGGCACAGAAGAAACAGCAGGTAGATGTTTACATTTAAAACCCAAAGCCATGGAATCCACAAAAACTCTGTATGAATGATGATGGAGGTCACTAAAAAGGAAAGATACCATTTAACCTTAGCTATTTGTACACTAGAAGAGAAACACTGCATATACTGAGCTTACACTCAAAATATATTTGGGTTCATACAGAGTGATAAAATGAGTTTCTGTACTTCATTCTAATGCTCACAGCCTCAGGGATAGATTTAACTGAGCAAATAATGTGATAATTCTTCTAGATAAAGGAGATTATTTCAATGTACTGTAACACTAGGGATTGGATGGGTAAAATCCTATCTAGTCTAAAAGTAAATAGTTTAAAATACTTTGAACATGACTTTGAGGGAAGGTCGGGATAAATCCTAAAAATACAATTAGGATTTATTTATTTGGGGGGCAGAAATATTTTTGTAAAAAAAAGCTACCTAGTTAAATTGACTTGGATTGCTCATAAAATATTTATTCAAAAAATAAATATTTGCTTAATTTTCTTGCTAGAGCTTACAGTAAAAACGTTGAAGGACAGGACTTACTTCTGAAGGAATACCCTAATGACTTTAGCAGTCATCAGCAAGGTGCTGCCGAAAGTCCGCAGAGTCAGGATCTGAGCGCACAGGGCTCACCTTCCGTAAACGAAATCCAAGAAACCAAGGTAAGTGGCCCCACAGCACCTTTAAGTTGCCTTTTATCCCTTTTAAAGTCTGTTTGTAAAAACTGCTGGTTGCAAATTAAGCATTCACCATTCCATAACAAATTCAGCATGATAATCTGGAATGGAATGCTAGCTACAAATAAGATCTGCACTCCAGCCATCTAGTTCTGTTACTATATAACTCTTACCTTTCTTACGGAACACTAGAGTCCCCATACACTAAATTCATGCACTCGGGGGGGTGAGGGGCAGGTCCTGTGCCCTCTGGCATCCAAATCCTCTAGGGGGATGTCCAACTGATGGCTGTCAGTCGGCAATCCTTAGCCTGGACAGGGGAGAGGCTCCCGCCACTGCTGCTGCACTTGCCAGCCAGGAGCCCAGCTTCTGGCTGAGCGGCACTCCCGTTGGAGCACACTGACCACCAGGGGGCAGCTCCTGCATTGAGCATCTGCCCTCCTGGTGGTCAGTGTGCATCATAACGACCAGTTGTTCCACTGTTTGGTCAATTTGCATATTAGCCTTTTATTGTATAGGAAATCAATAGCTAATCCCACCTATCGAACTTTACAAAATGCATCTAAGTAAAGAGAACGCACCTAGCAGAGAGTAAACATTAGCTACTATTTCTCTTTTGTCTCCCCATCCCCACAGATGGAGGCCTAACCTCACGGAGACTGTTTTCTAACACTGCATAAAGCTCTCCACCTTTATTCACACGTAGGTGGTGGAAAAGAAGAACCATATCTAGAATGGAGACTATAGACATTAACAGGCAAGTTGTCTGTGACGGTGGGATGCACATGCAGACAGTGAGTGTAGAAGTAGATGAAGGGGGTTTCTCAGAGCGCCTCGGCTGCACATGAGATCAGAGCCCCAGGCGGCGCTTCCTCTTCAGGAGGCGGCAGAGGAGACGTGTAAGCCCCGAGGGCTCCAACAGGTCGCAGGATGTTCCATTTTGAGTTCCTACTTAAATTCAATGAAAAATTGTACATTTACGTACTAAAGAATACCACAATAGTTATTACAAAGTTAACCTTTACAGCTTACTTAATACGTTAACTTAAAACAAATTAGTTGAAACTTAACTGAACATGTTTTCTCTTTCAGTCTTTGTGGTGGGAACGACGGGCTTTTCCGCTGAAGGGTGAAGTCAAAGAAGCCTTATTATGCCAAGATGGAAAAAAAGATCCGACTGAAAGAACAAATCCTGCTCTCAGTGGTGAAGACTTCTGGACCAGTGCACCAGAGGATGGAATGGAAGAGTATAACACCTATGCTGTAGGACTTTCGTTAAAAAAAAAAATAGGTGACAAGTAACAGGTTAAGAAAATGATAGAACTAAACAGAAAACAGGAGAAAAAATAAGCCCCTCCAGCCACAATTCCAGAGTAAGAGCATATAGTAATCTTTTATGCTCTTTATGCAACAGGCAAGGTATGTCTCTTTCCTTCCTGAACCATAGGAGTATCTAACTAGCTTTTCACTTACAGACAAGTGGCTAGTCATTTGTGTTTATGATACAGATCATAAGCACCAAAAAATTAACTGCTGCAATTTAGTGTCAAATCACAATACTGGCTAAACTGTTAAAAGATTTCACACACACACCTGTACAGCAAATGACAGGTCTTCTTGCATTGAAATATACAAACGTGTGTACAGAGTATACTTATATACACACACATATGCACTGGCAGTACTCAAAAATACATGTATGAATTACTCCATGAAATATAAGCTGCAGTATAAATAAAGCAGCGCAGGTTTCCAATGACAATCAACACCTAAAAGTCTTGACTATGGAGAGGGATTTTTAAAAAAAAAACAACACATGTTTAATAGAAGTTATTTATGGAAATTTCTATACCAGGTAACACAATATTACTTTATTTGAAATCAGTGATAGCTGTTGGACTAAACACAAGTCATTTTCTATGCACCCCTAACAGAATAGGACAAGCAAAGTAGAGTTAAATATTGGTGTTTTTAAAACTATCACCTTTTTAAAACGCAAGTTTTAGCAACTTCATTTTATGTATCTCATGAAGATACCAACTTAAAATAAGCAACACAAAGGAAAGTTCTGTCAGTATAAAAATATTAATGCATTTCTAGTTAATTTGGTCATTCTTTATTACTCTATTCAAATAAGCATCTGTTCTTACTTGTATACTAGTGAGAATTAAAACTATCCAAAGGATAATGCTTCAGTATTACCAATAATGGATACTGAAGTGTACATTAAGGGAAATTCCTTTTGAGGACATTACATCACTTTTTTCTATATAAAAGTTGAGGACAATGTATATGAATTATTTTTTTTTTCTCATGTAAAAAAGGTTATTCAAGTTGTAGTACTCTTATAACTGACAATCCTGGCCCAGACTTGGGGGATTTTACACTGTTTTGTGAGGGACTAGAAATTATGCTAGTCCTTCTAAAGAAGAAAAATTCAATACTGACAAATTTTTGCTTGTAGTTTTATTGTACATTTTTTTTTTAAGAAAACAAAAGCCAGACAAAACCAAGTTGTCCAGGCACATAAACTCAGATCTTTCTGTCATGTCTCAATATTATAATCTTCTATGTAAGTTTTTTAATTAAAGTTATTTCTATATGCCTTGTGTTGTCTGATTTGATAAAACGCCACCTATACAGGGCACAAAACTTTCCTCCTAAGCCAAAGTACACATTAGGAAATAAATTTTTACCTTGTAATGTAGAATAAAACCAAGAAAACTCTATTCCATACATATTATTTTTCAATTTTTTTCCCTTAAAATTCACAGTAGTCTAATAACAACTGGTCCTGTTATTTCTTGTCATATGTATTACATAGCAAGAGTATTTGCGATAAGAAAGTGGCTGACGTATTTGTTGTCAAAGTATGACTTAGGACACAATTATAAATATTTAGTTTATGGATTGATTCTGTACCTTGCCATTTCTTAGCCTACCTGGTCTTTTTTAGATTAATAAAATACATATCCTTTAGGGTCAAAATCCATAGTTCTGGGATATCCTCAGCAATCTGGTTCTGCTACAGGGTCAAGTTAGACTGGAAATAAGACAAAGTTAAGTAAAGAAGCTTCCTTTGCCCAATCCACCTCCCAAGGCCTCCATTTGTAGAGTAAGACCAGAAATCTTGTGCCTACAGAGTCCTTCCCATGCTCGTAGCATATTGCTGAGCTTTGTGTCTTCATTTTTAAAAAATGGGGACAAAAGTACCTGTCTTCCCACTCATAGGAGTGATTCAAAGATCTGATGAGATTAGCAAAGTACTTTATTACCTACAAATAAACTTGATAATGATAGCTACTTTGTACTGAGCATTCTCAATTCTATTGCAGTTATAGGAACAGTGGTGGAAGCTTTACATATGTATCTTTTTAAATCCTCAACACAACTCTGCTCTGTTATTATAGTTAAATTCAATATAAATCAGTTAATAGAAGCTCAAAGTTGTTGGTTGATTTGATTTTGCTAAAGTCAAACTTGGAAAGTGGAAAAGTAAATTCAATCTTCCTTCCAAAATGAGTCTTTCCTTTCTGCTCAGAGCTAGCACATTGTCTCATATCCTTAAAAATGGTCAGTGTGATTAAGAGATAGTGGTGGGGAAATCATCTGTCCCTAAAGCAAAGCTAACAAAACACCCTCATAAAACCTATGCTTTTTTACAACAGACCTTAAAAATCCTGGGCTTCATACATTGTTTTTTTATATCAAATATAACGTGCAAAGTAAAAAAATAGATGTTTCAGAAGCAAGAAGAATACGGTATGCTATCCCAGCCATAGATTTTCTCTAACTTCTATTCTACTCATAACGCATGTAGACAAACCAAAAATGACAAGGAACATGAAAAACATACTTTGCTTTTGGAAAACAGCCAAGAAACAATAGAAACTTCTTTTTAGAAGGAGAAAAACTTTTTTCATAGTAGTTAATGTGCCTTCTTTAGGCATTAAGACATTTCTATTTATAACCTTAATACAACTATTTTTACACTTTATAAAAATCAAGTCTTCCAGTAAAAATGGCATTTCACCCCACTAATCTTTAAAACCCATCATTAAATTTCTAACCTCTTGGGACATTCTGCAGAACAGATGATAGTCACTGGAATGAACTGCTCAGAAAAGCCACACTGCCTCAGCTGTGATGTGATTTGGTAGTTAATATTCTTGTTCTCCAGTAAAAGCATTTCATGAGCAGAGACGCTGGACTCCTTGTACTTTCATCGATCAAGAGAACGTTTCTGAGCAGCTTCTGAGCAAACATTTCTTAACAGGTTGATCACTGATCTGGGGTCTTCACTCCTCATAATGGCACTGCCAGACACAATCATGTTAGCTCCTGCCTGGAAGAAGTAAACACTTAGTTATGCTTCTAAGAAAGACACAGAAAAGCCTAAATCAGAATTTCTGGACTCAAGTTTCTATCCTTCCATCTGTCAACATTTAAACTGTACAAAAGCCACTTGGAGATGGACAGATTGAAACAATCTGGTTCAATGAAGAAAAAAGTTAAAATGCTTAAATAAGGCTGTGAACTTGTTTTTAAATGTTCTAAGGTATCATTGACTTTTAATTCTAAATAAGCTATACTGCATCTTTGCTAATAATTATCTTTAATCCTCAACTCTAATAAGGTTTTTCCAATATATACCAATATCTCCATAGCTACTAAAAAACCTATCTTTTAATCTTGAATTATGTAAATGAATTGGTAGATAGTCTGAGGACAATCTTGCTAAAATGTGAAGCTATTTATAAAACATGGCAACATTCAATGATTTCTCATTTTGAGGCCAGAAGGAATGGAACATCTTCTCGCTCAGGCTTCACTGCAGCCAGAATGGTTTTAAGGTGGCTTAATGAATCTCAAGGTATTCTTAAATATAAAAATAAAGGAAAGCAAATAATATCAATCAAAATCTAGCTCTGTGCTTCCAATCCGTGACGTGATTCATTGCCAAAAGGAAGGGGAAACCACTGAAGTTGAAGATGTTCCCAATGAGATTGTCACTCTGGGATACAGTGTACTACACGTCTAAGAACATTCCTCATAAAAATGAGAAAAAAAAAAAATCAGCTTTGCAGTGCTACAATTTAATGTAAACAGGAATAGCATAATGGCAAGGAGCAGTTTAGCAAAAAGAATTCCTCAGGGAGTCAAAGCATACATGCTCACTGACCATTTGGGCAGTACCTCTACCATTAATACTTCTCACAGCCCAGCATTTGACAAGTATTAAGCAGAAAAGTGTGGCATTTATACAAAAAACTGGAAGTGTAGATTAGACAAGGCTGTTTAGTAGAACAGGCCACTTCAATCACCTGCAGTGCTATAGGAAGGGCTGGCACCTCTCAACTCAGCTAACTACTCAGAAAACTCATCCCTGTTTGACACAGAGGGTTAGAAGTATCCAGAGATCAGATCCAGAATTTCAACAAAAATAGCCCTAGTCAGTTCTTACAAGAGACAAATTGGTAATTAAAATATCTAAGTTCTACAGACTAACAATTTTTTTCCCTTTATAAGAAGGTATGCTTTCTCTATTTGGACAAATGACTAAACCAAGGCCCTGGAACTTAATGATCTTCTAAAGTCTGGCATTCAGTATATTCTTTTTCAAAAGGGAACTTCTTCAACATTACTGAGATAAACCAAACTTACTATTTAATGATTATGTGATTTCAGAATATTCACTTATTGCTCCTTGTTTTCCTACTAGTGCCCTGGTGCACAGATTCATGCACATTGAAATGAAATTAATTAGAAGGTGGCCAGCAGGGTGGGGCAAAAGGGCCAGACATGCCCTGGAGCCAACCTCTTGCAGTCCCTCCCTGGCCAGCTGCATCTGGGGTGGCATTGTGACTCGAAGGGCATCTGTGGAATGAGCAGGGTCCCTGGCCTGCAGAGATCGGACCAAAACCAGCTCTCTGACATCTCCCCACACCCCCCCGCCAGAGGTCCCAACGTGCGAGAGTGAACTCTGCAAAGCTGCTGTCTACATGGTGTGGAATGCAAATGCAAGTGTGCAGTAACCAGATTTGGGGCAGACAGTACCCCAGCAACATGATCCATGGTAGAATGTGGAATCGCACAGCCCCACGAGAAATCAGGCTCCCTCCTCTCTGGTTTCAGGGTGCGTCACCCAAGAACCCCGCCACGGCCAAGTCACTGCAGCTCACAGCTCCTGCATTGATTGTCTGCCTCCTGGTGGTCAGTGCACGTCATAGTGACCAGTCAGACACAGCATATTAGCCTTTTATATAGAGAGAGTTCTACATTTGAACAAAAATACTTTTCCGTCCTAGCTGGCTCAGTGGAGAGTGTTGGCCCGTGGACAGAATTTTTTCCTGGGTTTGATTCAAGTCAAGGGAATGAACCTTGGTTGCAGGTTCTCTGGCCCTGGTTGGGGTGCAAGCAGGAGGCAACCAATCAATGTGTCTGTCTCACATAAATATTTATTTCTCTCTTTCTCCCTCCCACTATTTCTAAAAATTAATGGAAAAATATCCTCAGGTGAGGAATTACAAAACAAACACACACACACACACACACACACACACACACACACTTCCAAGATAAAAAGGCAATTTAGGAAATATCTTGGTCCCATAAGACAACGCCCTAGACATAATATTTGATCAGAAAATGGTCTGGGTCACAGTTGGGCACAGTCTCACCTCTGCACATTTTTGGATAGTGTCAGGACCTACTCCACCATCGACCTCTATGTCCAAAGACGGGAACTGGGTCCGCAACCAGTGAACCTAGATATACACAAGGAAATAAGTGACTCCTAAAGAAGATATGATGGGAATGGGGACGCAACCAAATAAACAAAACATCAAACAGCCAATATCTCCCACTAAAATAGGACCCCAAATGTCTCTCCCAGTAATTTCATAACAATACAAACCATGACTGGGGAAAACTTCCCTTTTAATACACTGAAACAAATTAAGTTTCCCAAAAGCGAGCTTTCTTCTTTTTGGCAAAAGGCATTAAATTTGTCATGGCTTTTCAGAGAACATACTTCATGGTAAAAAGACAAAACCCTCAATATTTAATGAAAACTCCCCAAAGCTCTAAACGCTATAGAAATAATGGTTTTGGCAGAAAATTTCAAAATTAAAATGTAGTATCTTTTCTGATTTCCAGACCCAAATCTTTTACGGCATTTATCATAATGTATTAAATAATCTGTAGGCATTTCCATCTCCCCACCTTCAGAGCAGAGTGTATACAAGTGACTCAATATATATTTATTGAAGGAGCACCCGTAAGAGCCTCACCCCAGAATAAATCCTTTTACCTTTGGCATCATATCTTCCATGAATTTCTGCCCTCCAAACCCAGGTTCCACTGTCATAACCAAGGCCATATCTATTTGATTAGCCCACGGTGCCAAATATTCAACTGTAGTTCCTGGTTTGATGGCAAGACCAACCTGTGACAGAGACAAACGTGCTAAATCACATTTACAATCACTTCCACATTATAGTTAACACTGTGGCGTATCTGGCCCAGTAGAAATACCTAGTCTCAAAAAAGGAGAATACATACATAAATGGAATGCGGCAATTGTTCAGACCATTAATTATTTAAAAAGTCAACTAGGCTATTAAATGTAAATGTTTCTAAAAAAGCAGTCATATTCAGAAGAATTATTACACATTATTATACTTATACAACAAACAAGTTATACTTAATACACTGGCTTCCAAATAAAGAATAGCTGCCTAAGTCTGGTCTTAGAAATGTAAGAAATGCCTTCCACCAAATCTTTCCAACTCTGAGCTTGAGCAGTATAAAACATCACTGTCATGGCTGACCTCTCACCTTCATCCCGTTCTCCCGAATGTCTTTAATCAAAGCCCCTGGGTTCTCAGTAGCCTCGAGATGGAAGGTATATTGATTAGCTCCCGCTACTGCCATTGGCTTTACCCACTGTTCGGGCCTCGACACCATCATGTGCATGTCTAGAAGGAAAAGACACATCTCCTGAATATTACCCAAAGGAAAATACCTGGTTCATACTACTGAAGCCAACCTGTGATTTTCACCATTTTGTATACACACTCTTCTGGCACCACAATAATTATTAAATAATTACACTTCTGTATTAATAGCCGCCTTTTATCCTGAAGATTAGGATTTGGTTAAACACACACACACACACACACACACACACACACACACACACACACTTTTTCTATAAAAGCATCTGTTGCTGTATATGAAAAGTAATGACTAGAAATCAGGAAACCTAGGTCTAGGTCTAGTAAATATGACTAAAAAAAAAAACTTTTTAAAAGTCATTATCTGTGAAAACTTGCTTCCTCATTTATAAAAGAAAGCTAAATTAAGTGATTCTCTTCACCTATATTGAGCACTTCCTGCACAATTAACTATTTTAAGGCCTTAGGGAGAGAGCAAAACAACAAACAAAAATATGCTGTCATGAGGATTACATTCTTAGTGGGAGAGAAACCATAACAAATAAGTAAATACAATACAGACTAGGATGACAATTAACAAAGCCAGTGTGACTGGGTGCAGAGCAATAGGGAGAGCAAATGAGGTCAGAGAGGCCCGGGGTGAGGAGACAGCACTGAGCTCTGGAGGCCATTAGGTTTTATTCTGAGTGAGATGAGAAAAACACCACTGGATTTTAAGTGAGGGAGTGACAAGATCTGACTCAGAAAGCCATGGCAATGACCCAGGTGAGAAAGGACGACGGTAATAACTGAGGGTGTTGGGAAGTGGTGGGATTCTGGGTATGTCCTGTAGAGCCAACAGGTGTTGCTGTGGATTCAAGTTTGGACAGTGAAAGGAGAGGCAGACTGGTGCAAGGATTGGGGCTGGAATAACCAGAGAGAACTCCAATAACTGCAGGAGGAAGCATGAATTGGAAGGGGAGAAGGACATGCTATAACTAAAAGAAGCCTGACATGCATCCTGAAGCTTGAATCATATAAATATTATATTAGGCAAAACAGACCTGACTTTCTTAAAAATCCTGACTTGTAATTAAAGAAAAAATTCTAGTATTCCAGAACTCAAGTAAGATTATGAAATGCACTAAGGCTTTGAAAAATTGTCAGGAAGAGTATACCACTTGACTAATGACAACAAGATTCAAGTTTATATTTCTAAACAAAAGGAAAGAAAACAGAACACATTTTAATAGATGAAACACTGTTTTTAAAAGATAGACTCTATTTGGTGTTTCCTATTACTCTGTATTATAAACAAGGAAAATTCAATCTGGTTTAAAACATCTAGTTTACTCATTCCTTAAGTTACCATTTCCCCCATGCAGTCACCACTGGCAGCGCTCACTGGACTGTCCAGCATTCAGGGAGCCAATGGGTTAATGAATCTGCCTGTAGTTAAACACACCAAGATGAGCAGTTCCCAAATGTTCTATTATCAGGCTCGCTTTACACTCTTAAAATTAATGAGGACCAAAAAGCACTGCTGAGGTGGGTTATCTTTACCTGTACTTAAGGAATTAGAAATTCAAATTAAAAATGTTGACCAGCCACTGTGGCTCACTGGTTGAGCTTCGACCTATAAACCAGAACTAGGAATCACAGTTTGATTCCTAGTCAGGACATATGCCTGGGTTGTAAGCTCATGTAGGAGGCAGCCGATTGGTGGTTCTCTCTCATCATTAATGTTTCTGTCTCTCTCTCTCTCTTCCTTCCTCTCTGGAATCAATAAAAAATATGTTTTTTAAAAAGGAAAAGAAAATGTTTACATCTACTTATCAATTCATTAAAAAAATAAGCAATAATAAATTTATGATGTTAATGTAAGAGTGGTTATTTTACATTTTTGCAAACCTCTAACAGATGTTATCCCTACATCTGCTCTATATTCACCCTGTTACAATATGTTGTTTTATATGAAGAAAAGTACATTAAAAAGGGAGGTGTACCTGAATAGCCTTTTCAGACAAGTGTGGATATTCTATTTCTACCCCGAAAACACAACAAGTGGTACTTTTAAATAGGTTGGCTGAAATGTGGAATCTGTAAACCCTACCTGTGACCTTTTCTACTTTGTTGTACTAAAACCTGTTGGTCTATCTTATAATTTGATCTTCTAAGTAAGATACATTTCATTATATGCTATAAAAAGCACATTTATTATATCACAACAGAAAAGCTCTTAATAGTAGAAATTAGTCAAGCTCATAGCAGCATATACATATTTATCAAAAATTTTTTAAAATATATTTTATTGATTTTTTACAGAGAGGAAGGGAGAGAGATAGCTAGAAACGTCGATGAGAGAGAAACATCGACCAGCTGCCTCTTGCACACCCCCTACTGAGGATGTACCCGCAACCCAGGTACATGCCCTTGACGGGAATCGAACCTGGGACCCTTCAGTCCGCAGACCGACGCTCTACCACTGAGCCAAACTGGTTTCGGCTGTTTATCAAAATTCTAATTTTCACTTACAAGCTCTAACTTTATCAGGGAGCAACAAAAGCTAATATGGTCTTTTCCTTGCAGTGACACGCTAACTTAAAATTTTTTTTTAAAGGTTAGTAAAAACACAAGTCTGATAACCACAGTTCAATCTGTCAATTGTTCTTTCAGGTGAAAATGATGTTCCTACCAAAAGCACATAGTTCAGTCACATCAGAAACAATGGCCTAAGAGTTTCCCTTGAGAAAACCATCACACTTCTGCATGCAGCAGAAGTGCCTATTTGTACATTCTACTCTGTCACACTAAATAGTAAAAAGACATGCATTCAAGGACCACGACTTACTAAAATTAATCATTTGCACCACCTCATCACAGATACTATGAACACATCACGATGAAGAATGTTAATGACTACTTGTAGAGTTGAATACCACTGCCTTGATTAGAGCTAAGGCAGCAGCAGACTAACTCACCATTGCTTCTGCATCCTCAGTACAAATATGGCAAATAAAACTGTAATATAAAGACAGTTTTGACCTCATACACCAACTGAAAGGGATTTCCATGGGTCCTCAGACCAAACTTGAAGACCAATGATCTGGATAATAGCAAAAACAGACTTTTTCTACCACTTTATTCGTACCTAGTACTAAGATCAAACAGTTAAGAACTCTAGCAGTTATACATACAACTTGTGGTTTAGTTTCTAGAATATATTCACGTGTCAATTATCTAATAGCCAAGATCCAAGAATTAAACAAAAACACACTTTAATTAAAAAAAAGCAAAGATCACAAAATGCAACATTAAAGCACACAGAGTCCATTCTTCTTTATTTTAGACCCAATTCTAGAAAGGTTAATTTGTGACTTTATCAGCAAATAAACTAAAACAAGAAGAAAAAGCAGAGTGTACGTGGTGGTGGCAGTAGGGCTGGTAAGAGGAGAAGCTCTGATAGTAGGAGACACAAACAGCAGTGAGAAGTGACACCAGGCAACCAAATAAAAGGGAGGGGAAAAAAAGGGGGGGGGGGACTTAAAAAAAATCCATACACAAAGCCAGAAACAGGACTCAGTGGCCACTGTATAAGGGGGACAAACAAGGTTACTTATTTCATCCACCTCTGATAGTCAGAAGAACAAATATTTATTGGAAAATTCCATTATTTGGAAATTGCAAAATGGTGAACATGTTGATGGAACACCGTTATCCTTTGCCACGTAAATTAGGTGATAATGTACATTTTTTTGGTTCACTCAAAGTGGATGGATACTGCAGAGAGGCTCTGTCCTACAGCACTTTCTACAGCGATGGCAATCCTCCATAGTGGTATTATATAATAGTCACTAGCCAGGCGTGGCTGAGAACTTGCAATATGGTTAATACCACAAAGAAACTTACATAAAAGAGGTTTGGCAAGTGAGGCACTGCTAGCTTAGCTTAAAAGAGCAGCAACAATATGTGGGCTGAGTTCATTTTCCATTAGAAGTAACTTCTAGGTTACTGTGTGATCTTATAAACCTTAATTCACAATATCCTACAGCACTGAAGTGGGAACATATATAGGCCCCACTTGCAGAAAGCTCCAATTTGCATGAAATAATTGGCTCCATTTCTAGACCATAAAAATCGATCAATTCATAAATTCATTTTACATTACACTGAGCCCCTATCTCGTTTCTATGCTTTTGCTCTAGGAAATCTCTCTAATCAAGGAATTTACAGTCTGATAAAAATAACCTCAGATTAAAGGAAGTTCTAAGAAGAATATCCAGAAGTTGATATGATAACTGGATAAGGGTTAACTTAAGATAGGGTGCTCAGAAAGGCCTCTCTGAGGAAATGAGAAATGAGGAGGCAGACCTAGACAAGTGAGTAGCTTTCCAGGCAAGAAATTAGCAAAAGCCCCAAGGCCCTGAGACAGGCAAGAGTTTGACTTATCATAGGCAGCCCAGGAAGCCCAGCAGAGACAGAGGGGAAAGGGGCTCTAGATGACACTGAAAGTTGAGAAACCAACACCTTTTCCTTTACTTGAGCAACACATCCAGCTTCAGATGGCATAACACTCACTTACCAAAGAACGGCTCCTGGCCTAGCTGCTTTCGGAGGCTTTCTACCACAGGGTGACCAAAGGTGATGTTGGGAACAAAATGCCTACAAGACAAACAAAATCTTACTCTGACAATATTTCCAATACGTATGCCGATGGGGGTAGAGGGCGATGTCTGTGATTTTACCATTTTTCAATTTAATTCTTAACGTCATCAGCATTAAACAATACTAGAATTATCTGGATAATTTTGGATTTACAAAGAAGAATCTCCTTGATATTGAACAAATCATAATAATCACATGATTTAACTCTGTAATTCATAATCCCTGACAAAATCAAAACCCAGAAGTTATATGACTTGTCCAAGTCATATACAGCCGTACCTCATTTCTGGAACTTAATTCATTCTTGAAGGCTATTCGAAAAGTGAGTATTTTCCCCCATTAGAAATAATGTAAATTGAATTAATCTGTTCCAGATGCCAAATGATTCCTTTTTAACCTTTCTTATATATAGTACATGTCTATTATACTGTTTAACTTATAAACACTTTAAAAACAAAAAGGACATTAAATGTAAATGTAAATTTGTCAAAAAGGAAAGAAAATATATAGTATAAAAAAATGAAAATCTAGCAATAATTATAAGCAGCAACAACAGCAAAAAAACATGAAAATATTCACAGCATAATATCCTGAGATTTTTAACCGTGGTAAATTGACTCATATTTGCCCATTCTTTCCTCTGTAACCTGAGATGCATGACTGATCATACAGGTATCAGCATGAAAGGCTGTCAGGTGGAGAAGTAAACTGTTCCAGATGGGAGATGTTCAAGAAAGAAGTCCCTCTGTACTAGTCAGAAAGTCTGGACTGTAATATGGATCTTTCATATCTTAGTTTGTTATAGGCTGGCTGAGGCTACTTTTAATCCTATACCACAGGGCCTTAATGACAGTTTATTTAAACTTTCAGCCTTATGAAGTAAATCTATTATATGAAGAACATAGGATAAATAACTTCCTTAACTCAACCAATTAATTATTTGTGGGGCAAGAGTCAAATTAAGTTTTCCAAGTATCAGACCCAAAGCACTTAACGTCCTCCTACTCCTGTTAGTCCTCAGGTTCTATTAAGCACCATGGTGGTTGCTTCAGAGTACGGTATTTTATAAGAAACACATGTAAGAGCCCCTGCCTAGCTCAGAAAATGCTACAATCTCATTGGCAGGAGATGCCTCATAACTCACCAGAACTCATGACCTACTGTTATTGTACAGTTGACAGGAAGCCAATGCAGACAACCAAGGACCACATCTCCAGCTCCCTTTACATCCAGTTGGCCCACAGGACTGGTCTTTACCAGTGGGCCGTGAGTTTAAGTTATGTGTCACTGCAGAGCCCAGGAGGTTAAGTGGTGTTCTTTTCCTGTGCTCATTTTACCCTCCTGCCAATAAAGGAGCCCTTCAGGAATAACAAAGCCACAGGATGAACAGTCTATGGCCATCCCTTGGAACAGACTGTCCAATCTCGATGGGAAGGTGGGAGTGGGTGGGAAGAGATCAATCAAAGAACTTGTATCCATAAATGCATAACCCATAGACACAGGGGAGCAGGGGTGGGCTAGAAGGAGGCAAGGAGAAGAAGAAAGGAATATATGTAACTTTCAACAGTAAATATTTTTTTAAAAAGTCTATGCCACTGAACTTTATCAGTGAAGGACAGTCACACTGAATTGTTACACGAATGAGAAATAAACTTTATAATGTTAAGCCACTGGAATATAGGCTTCATTTATGAAAAGTAATAGGTATTACCCTATATGAGGATTGCAAGAAAAGCTAAACAATAACAAGTAGACAAATATGAGGTAAAACCGGTCCCAGAGGCAAGGAGTATAGCATTTTACAAGAGGGGGCGAAGATCATGAGATTTACAAAATAGAATTTTAAAGATGGGAAAATAAATAAAGCAAAGGCAGAAATAAACAAGCTATGCTCAAAGAAGGAGAAAAATGGTGTTACCAGATTGGTTAGTAGTGTGAAAAAGGCAGGAAGCCAACTCTGTCCAGTAAGGCTATCAAATGCTGGCTCAGTATTTAGACTTCATCCTGCTGTAAATATGAAATGAGGCTTTAAAATAAAAAGCAAATAAAAAATAAGATGCAAAAGGGTAGGCGGTAAATTGGAAGAAGGGAGGTAACAGGTGTTGGCAATGGCAAGGAACAATAATAGAAACAAAGACTAGTAAAGGATTTGTTAACTGGTAAGTTCGGGGTGTGGTAGAGAGAATTCACCATGGTTAAGATTTTAAGCTTAGATGACAGGCTGAGTGAGTATTAAAGTGAGATTTTAGCAGTTTAAACTTATATGGACCAGCACCATTCTATGTTAACTCATTAAAACTTCCAAGTCTTCGAGGGAGAGGCCACGGTATCTGGTATCTGGTATTTCAAAGATAAGGAAGAGGCCCAAGGTCACACAACCAGGGAGTGCTGGAGGCCAGCGTTAAATGGCTCCAAAGTTCCAGCTCCTTACAGTCTCACCTGCCTCCGACAAACTGCAAGGAGCAGAAAAGGCAAGTGCAGGTGAGGAGCGTTAGGGGAAGGTCAGGATAGGGCACATCTGGGAGGAGCCTGTGAGACGGTGGGCACAGACACTTTCCCCTCGCAGGCTGGGTTTTAGCATTTCTGAGGTCATCTAGCATTTGCCTAAGAGCAACAACTGCTAGGGTTATTCCTAGGCGATTATTATGATTACTTACATCTTGGAAGTAAGAGTCGGAGAAGGAGGCAGTGAGGCTTAATGAGTATTATACAACTCTGGAACTGACAAGATTTGTATTTCGTTTGCTGTTTTTTTAATTTGCTGTCTGGCAGTGGAAGTACAGGCATACCTTGTTTTAGTGCACTTCACAGGTGTGCTTTTTGTTGGTGGTGGTTTTACACACATTGAAGGCAAGACCCCATCACAGTAAAAAAGATAAAGAGGACTCACGTTACTGCAAGCCTCACTTTATTACAGACGTCAGGAATGAAACTCGGCATCTCCGAGGTATGCCTGTAAGTTTGTTATCTCAAATTTAGGTTTCATTTACCCGTATTTTCCGGCGTATAAGACGACCCCTAATTTTACAGTTAAAACATAGGTTTAGGCCTATATTCGCTGTATAAGACTACCCCCCACTTCAAAGAAAAGACTTACTTTGCCATCAAGATCTGTAGGTAATTTTTGTGCAACTTTGGTCTTTTGCCCCCGATTTTCGATGACTTTTTTTTTTTTTCGTTTCAAAAGTCGTCTTCTACGCCGGAAAATACGTATCATGAAAATAAGTATCACCACATTTTGAGAAAATATAAGAACGGAACAAATATACTTTTATTCCACTGAGAAACAGAAGCAGACTGTATAAAACTACTGACCCTCAAATTGTGCGGCTGAAGATTAATTAAATGCACCAAGCTCACCAAGTACACTGGGAGAACAAAAATGCACCAATCCCTAAGAAACCAAAGGCTTATACCTAAGCCATAACAACAACAACAAAAAGGCAAAAAGCAAACATGAATTCAGGGTGACCAAAAATTTGCTGGACAACAGTAACCAGGTGAACACTTACACGCAAAGGATTTACAGACTACTCCAGGCCTCTGGCCGCCAAAGAGGGCATGGGACTCAGAATCCTGAAGTGCACAGGGAACTCTAACAGACCAGCTTGGAAAACAGTAAAATATTTCACTTTAATGAAGAAAAAGTTTATCAAAAAAGTCTGCTTCATTATTACATTACTGATTTTTTTTTTCCTTGAGGGTATTTTTGGGAGTAAAGTTGGCAAAATAAATAAATAAACAAACAAACAAACAAACAAACTTCCCCCCCCCGAAAACTACTGAAATTAAATTATAATTATTTACTATAACACAGGATACAATTATTTTAACTCTCAACATGTTCCACCAACCCTAAGCTTTGTTTACAATTGTCATGCAATATATTTTAGACATATCAAGCTTTTTACCAGATCTCTCAAAAAGGCAAAGATGATAAGAGACGGGCTAACTTTGATATAAAATGTCAAAAGACTGTAACCAGAAAACAATTCCTCTGAACTAGGAATCACAAACTCATATGCTTACAAGGACTAGCAGGGGACATGGAGAAGCAAAAACAGTGAATAAAGAACATCTGGCCTGGCTAATAGTGGCTGCCATTCATCTCCAGTCTTTTGATGCCTTTCAAAAGTCAGATTAATTATTAGTATTAATATGAACCCCCCCAATTTTAAATTCTGGTAATTAACTTAGAAATTGTTTATTTGCAACCTCGCCGGTTTTGTGCAGTGGATAGAACATCAGTCTGCAGACCAAAGGATCCAGGTCAAGGGCATGTACCTTGGTTGCAGGCCATGTACCGTGGCCCAGAGCTCTGGTTGGGCGGGCGCATGCAGGAGGCGACCGATCCATGTGTTTCTCTCGCATGGACGTTCCTCTCTTTCCCTCTCTCTAAGAGATCGATGGGAACGTATCCTCAAATGAGGATTAACAACAACAAAGAAGCAGAAGAAGAAAGAAATGGCTTATTGGGTCTGTTTCCACATACAGGAAACAACACGCCCTGTCCTGATGCGCGTATGTGTGCTCTAACTTACTTCTCCTCTTGTCCTGTATTTCAGACATCTAACCACACCCGGCCCCACCTCCCACAGGGTTTCCAGACTGTTTCCGACTTTCATGATAAAGTCATTGGTCAATCAGAAGAGAAATGGAGTCTTAGTGGGCGAGTGGGGGGACGAGAAAAGACAAAGCCCCATCCAGGTTGCTGCAAATGATGAGAATTCCTTCTTTTTTATGGCATTGTGTAGATGTACCATAGTTTTTGGATCCAATCATCAGCTGACGGGCACCTAGGCTGTTTCCAGATTCTGGCTATTGTAGATTGTGCTGCTATGAACATAGGGGTGCAAGATCATTATAAACTGATGAACCAAAAGATATAGAGAAAGTAAAGCAATAAGCAGATTGTCAAATTACAGTGGGGAGGGGAGGAGGGTCTGGGGGAGATAATAAGTCAACCCAAGGATTTGTATACATGCATATAAGTACAACCAATGGACATAAAACTCTGGGGAGGGAGGGGATATGTGGGAGGGAGGGAAGGGGGCAAAAAAAATCAATAAAATATGTAAAAATAAAAAATAATAAAATAAAATAAAAAAATAAAAAAAAAGACAAACCCCACACTCAGGGGGATGTTGGAGATTTTCAAAGGGAGCCGGGAGAAAAGCCTGGAGAGGGTAGCTGGAGGGAAAGGAGTCTCCATCCCCCCCTCTCCTGCCCCTCCATGCCCCTGGCCTAGGGGACACCAGCTCAGCCTGGCTTTATCTCTTCTGGTGGGGCAGTCAGGAAGGGGCTGAACCTGCTGAAACTGGTTTCCTCCTTTGTATTATAATAGGGTAATAGGGATAGTAGTTGTGAGCTCAAAAAGGGGCAAAGCTTAAAAGGGAAAGGGTTTCTAAGTGGTGTATGCAGAATTTAGTTCTTTCATACTAAGATGTCTCTTGCAGAGGGGGAGACGGGTCAATAAAAAACAAATACTTTTATCTTAATCTTGGGATTATGATACAGCCTTTCATGTATAGGATCAACTATAACTAAGCTTGCCATGGTGCTTTACCTGTGGAGAATGGAGTTGAGCAGAAAGACAGATTCTGTTCTCAAGGAGCTTACAGTATAGGAGAGACATGAAATAGGAACAAAAAATAGTGATAAAGTATTAGCTGCTCGGTAAGGATAGAGTGTCTGTCGTTCTCTGTAAGCTCACTACCCACAGGAGACATGTATTTCTGAGACAGCACAGCCGTTGTTCCCAGCTAGGAAACCCCTGAGGGTGACTTCATCTCTTTGCATTTGATTCCTCACGGCCAAAAGCTGGCGCTCAGGACAGCACCGGCCTCTTCAAGTCGTGTGAGTTGGTTCACAAAAAGCCCTGAGACAGAAACCGCTAAAAGCTGTTGTCATCATTGATGTCCCCCGTTTTTGGCGAACACGTCTTGTCAAGCCAAACTGTTCTGTGTCCGAGAGACTACATACTATAGCACAAATCCATGGAGCCTGTTCCGTCCTGAAACCCCTGGGTGTCCCTGACACAAACATCGCTGTGGCACACACTCCGCTCAGCAGGATCACCTGTGACAGGGCAGGGCTTTCCAGCAAAACTGTCCAAAAAACACTACAGAGGCACAACGACAGACGATCCCAAACTAAAAAAAAAAAGAAAAAAGAGCAGGCTTTTGGGGGAGGTAATGTTCACTAACGTGCTTACACTCTCGGCCTAGAATTCCCAGATACCACCCTAAGGTCAGGATTTCGCCATTATCAGCAGGTGGTCAAACGTGCGAGGTGTCTGAGCGGAAGGAAAAGGAGAAGCCACAGCCTTACCCACGCAAAGGAAGGCCAACTCCTGCAAGGGGGGCGCGTTAACAGGGAAGGAAGGACAGCCTGCACCTGCAGAGATTCGTGCGGGCCCGCAGGGGAGGCCTCGCCCTTCCGAGCTGCACCTGCCGCCGCCCTGGGTGACGCTGCGGGGCGATGGCCGGGCCCGCGGGGCTCGGAGCTGCCACGGAGGCGCCTCCCCGCGCTCTCCGGGTTCGGCCCCGGTTTTAGAACCAAACGCGGACACCAGCATCGCCCTGTCCCGGACAGCATCAGGCGCTGCACCGCGGCGCCTAAGACTCCCCCAGACCAACCAACCAACAACAAACACAAACACACACAAAAACAGCCTGGCTCCCGGACAGCGGTCCCAGACGGACGGCAAACCACAACGGGCGCCGTGACACCGCACAGGCCGGCCGCCCTGAACCCGCACCCGCACCCGCACCGCCTCGCTCCACCCCCGCAGCTCCCGGGGGCAGTGCCCGCGGGATGGCCTCTCTCACTCAGGGGCAGGGGCAGTGGCCGGGCCCGGCGGGGAGGCCCCGGCGTGGCCACCCATCTCCTCCAGGACACGGACTTGGGCGAGCCCTGCCTCCCCCGCCCCCCGCCCCGGCCTCAGTTTCTCCCGCCGGAAACGGGAGGGGGGGTCCCGGAGACGGAGGCCGCTTCCGGGTGCCCAGGGCCAGGCGGCCGGGGGAGGAGGGGGGCCGGGTCCCCTCTCCCCCGGCCCAGCCCCCCCCTCCCCCGGCCCGGCCCCCCCTCCCCCGGCCCGGCCCCCCCCTCCCCCGGCCCGGCCCCCTCCTCCCTCGGCCCGGCCCCCTCCTCCCCGGCCCGGCCCCCTCCTCCTCCGGCGGCCGCGGGGCCGGGCGCCGCGCACCCACAGGCTCCCACCCGCGCCGCCCCGCGCGGCCGGCCGCGCCCGCAGTTACCCGTCCATTACATCCAGGTGCAGGTAGTCGGCGCCGGAGTCCAGCAGCCGCACGCACTCGGCGCCCAGGCTGGCCAGGTCGCTGTTGAGGATGGACGGCCCCACCTTGCAGCCCGACGCCATGGTGCTGGCTCCCCGGCGCCAGTGCCCTCGCGAGTCCCGGGCCGGGCGCAGGCGCCGCTCCGATTGGCCGCGCCGCTCTGACGCGACCTCTTCCCCGCAGCGTCTTCCGGGCTCCGCCGGAAGCGGCCGCCTGGGAGGCGGAAGTCCCGCCTCCCGGGGGGCGGGGCCTCGCTTAAAGGGGCCCCACTGCCTCTGACCTTTCTTCTTAAAACCGGCTTTGGTTCTTGCGGAACTCGAGTTTTCTTCATTTTTTTTTTTTTTTTTAATACACCTTACCTTCCTGTAACGCCTTCTTTTCCTCCCTGCTTTACAATCTGTTTCTCCATCATGTGTGTGCCTTTCCTTTCCATCCCGTTACTCTTAAAAAACACACACACATACACACAAGGAAAAACCACTTACTTCTTCCTTATTTCTCTCCCCTGGAATCGGTCCTAAAAGCTGAAGGGGTCGGATTTAGGGCGGAATCATAGCTCTATGGTGAGACACTAGCTGGGGGAGGTAACCCAAAGTTAACTTTAGACTATCCTAAGGACTGAAAAGCATGCATTGGAGCAAAAGCAGCTGCAGGAGATCAGACCCTGGTAAACCCTGAATGAGATCCCCTGAGACAAAGGGGAGGCGGCCTTACTGATATAAAGGAAGCCCCTGCCCAAGTGTTCAAGTAGGTCCATTTCATGGAAACCAGGGACCCCGAATCCTACACATCTGATTGGTCTGAATCTGATTGGTCAGCATCATGCGTCCTGATTGGTCGTGATGGGGCAGTTCTGGTCTGACTGGGCTGGCCCTGGTCCCTTGGTGGCAAAATGAAACCTCTAGGGAGAGTGGACTCAGTGGGAGTAAATGAGCAGGCCATAGAGCCGGAAGCTTAGAATTCCCCTGTGGATCTTCTTCCTGGCTCAGTGTAGATGAGAACCCCCCTGTCAGCAAATGGCCACTAGGATCTTATTTGACTGACTTATTCACTGAGCATAACACCCTCTAAGTCCATCCATGGCATTGCGCATACCATGTGATTTCACTTATATGTGGCATCTAAAGAACAAGAGAAATGAACAAACAAAATTGAAACAGACTCATAGACACAGAGAATGGACTGGTGGTAGCCAGAGGGAAAGGGATGGGGGAGTGGGGTGGGGACTGGGTGGAGGAGGCGAAGCAGTTAGGAGGTATACATTGGTAGTTGCAAAATGCCCACAGGGATGTAAAGTACAGCCCAGGAAATATAGTCAATAATATTGCAATAACTGTATGATGCCGGTGGGTACTGTACATATTGGGGAGAACACTTCGTACAATATAGGACTGTCGAGCCACTATGCCGCTCACCTGAAACCAACACAAAATAATATTGAAAGTAAACTGTAAATGGAAATGGAAATGCAACATTTGGACCCTCAGTTGACCGTGGGGAGTCCATCTCAGCAGATAAATTTCTCCCAGGGGTTCACATCAAATAAATCTTTCTTCTCTGAGTCCACTGCAAAGTCACTTCTCCCTGCTTCATTGTTTTCTCGTCTGTTAAAACAGTGTCCAGTGTTGTAAAGATTAAATAAGCAAATCCTGGTGAGGTGCCCAGCACATTATGCCTGGTGCCCAGAACTAAACAATGGTGGTTATTATTACTACTCTCCTCCTCTGCTTCTTGTCCTCATCCCTTTTATCTTCTTGTTTTTTTTCCCTCTCAGGAATGCGCATTGACAGATTATAATCCATTTATTTACTGTTCAGACACAACTGAAGAGAGGTATGAGTGTTTATTCTTCTGCCAAATTGTGTCTAGAGTCTTTGGGTCAGGAAATAGCAGCCCTCTGAGGGAAAAAATGAATTTAGCAACAACATACCTTAGAGGGTAAGGATAGGGCACTTTGTACTCTGTATAAAAGGAAGACTGGTTGTAACTTGAACCCCGTGATGGTTCTGGCCACATTCAGAGGACAACCAGGTCCTTAACATTCCTCCTGGGAAATCTACCAGAATACTTTCTTGAATGAGTTAAACTATTCCCTACGTTAAGAGATGAGAAATGAAACAATCCGTCCTCTTAAGTATTTTTAGATGTATTTTATTTATATGTGCATATGCAAACACAGAAGTCTTAATATCTTTCATAAATATCTTTCATAAACATTTTCAGTATTAATTCATAGGCATTTTTCCATGCTCTTTGGTCATCCAGGATTCATAACAGACTTCTTAAGTCCTCTGAGGGAAGTTGGCTGTGTAATCATTTGTTGTTTTTTTTTTTTTACCTATAAAATGGCTAATAAAGGATTTTTATCCTTCCATCACAGTGACTATTGAAATATATTATGGAGGTACATTGACCTATAATGCTAAATGATCCTAAAATAATATAAATAAGTTTGCCTTCAGCTTTTCCAAATACATTCTACTCTTAACTTGTCTTCATTGTCCTGAGTGTCAAACCAAACTCTGTTTCTGAATTGCTGCAGTTGGAGCCCACTAAAGTAAGTGAGGGAGTGGGACTTTCTGCTCACTGCCAAGGACAAGCTATGGCATGGGAGGTGTGAGGTCACATGGCAACAGCATAGCTCGGTATAATAGCAGCAAATTCCTGACTTGAGGAAGGGTATTTGTGTTTTAGACTGTAATTCTATTTCTGACCCTTTCTTTCCTGTAGGTCCCTATACATACCCTATTCTCATCTCAGACTCTGTTGGTGTTGGACAGCTGAGTGGAGAATATTCTTCATTGCCTAAAGGGACAGATACTAAAGAAGGGAGCTGTCACACTGCCTTAGGTACTCTTGGAGGCCTGAAATATCAAACCAGTTACTTTCAGCCGGTTCAACAAGCTCTATCCAGATCCTCAAATACCAGAGGTTGTTTTCCAGCACTGCCATGCCCAATTATGCTTTTTGACACTAGTTCCCAGTGCATTGTCCTAATGTACTCAACAATTCAGTTTCTTTTTATTGGGTAAAAAAAAATCAAATAACGTGTCTCATGAAATTATAGAAAGCAGCAAATACTAAAAATGAGAGTAAAATGTTTCACTATAGAAAATGCTGTACCCAGGATTGAACCGCTTTAATTAAAATGGAGTACTATAAACCTACACCCACTATTATGGATGATAAGTGTTTATTCCAATTTCTCTCAAAATTTCATTTCTGAAAAAGCAACCACTCAGTTGAGTCTAATTTTTTTACACATGGGAAGTAAGTGCCTGTTTTAATTGTCCTCTGAACAAGATGAATATTATTAAGCATCATAGCTTAAGAAAGATCTAGTATTACCAATATTGTATTTATCATATGTAATTGTTTTTATACTCAATAATTTGATCATTCAAAAATTTGTTAACTATCTTAAAAGTTTCTCTAATCTCCTACTACCATTTTTTAAAAATAGCTATTCCTTCAAACTCCAGGTAACAGTATTCCTGAGAATACATCTTGTGACAATCTTATGCACATACATTTAGATACTTTATCAATTGCACATAAACATTCAATAAATTACATTCAACACATTAAGGGCACCTTAAATGGAACAGATGCATTCACACATCTGCAAGATCTCAGTAATCCCAGTATGAAAACATTCCCACTCTCCAAGGCCCTGCTTCTCAAGAGTGGTGGCTTTTTTTTTTTTTTTTTTGCAAGATACAACAATACTTAGCTTATTGGAAAATTTTCCAACAGCATCCATAACCCTAGAGTGAAGGGGTCAGGCTAAAAGGCAGACAGGTCAGCATAAATATGTTCAATACTTTTTACATATAAAGGTATTCTTAGCATATATTCAACCATCTTTTTTAACCCATTTACTTTTTCAATATGTTATACAATTACACATAGAGTATTTGAATCAAGAATCAAGTAACTGGAACAAAACAGACACATATAGAGACTCGTATAGCTCAGACACATGTAATTACCAAACATAAGGCCTCTAACACTAATTGAGCAGCATAATTTTTAACAGGCAAAACACATCAGCTTAGAAAGAGTTATAAACCCACTTACATTATATTTCTGCATTTGAGAATTAATTCAGCGTTAAGTGTCAACATTCTGAAAATATTTTAAAACATAAAAGAAGCCTCTGCTCTCTGAAACTCTAGTTTCTGAAGCTTTAGATTTGAGATTTTTTAATGTTGTCCATTGTCTTTAACTCACAAATACCTCTCATTCTCATAGTAAATTGGGCCAAAACCCCAAATTATACCTGAAAGTACAAACCACAGTGGAAACAATGCCTATTTAATAAAGGAATCTAACAGAAAAATAATTTTCTTTTGTGATTTGGGTGGGTTTAATAGGTCTCCTCTATATATACATATACTTCTCATGGTCAACATAGTCAAAGTTTAAGCATATAGAATATGTTTTGAATTCACTGCAATGTAATAAATATCTGTATTTAACTTCAACTGGAGGACTAGAAAACACACCCACACACACACATCACTGTACCAATTTAGGTAAATATATGAGTTTTTATAATGTAAACTGTTACATTTCTGAAATTCAATTTTGAACTGTATTATACTTAGCCCTACTATAGCATCAATAACACACTAGATATGGGCTCACAAGCCTTTTCATTTTTATATTTTGCTTGAGTAACTGAACTTCAAGTTAAAATAAATTCACAAGCTGACTTTGTCCATGAAGAGATTGCTCAATTTATATTTTTTTCCTCATAAACTCAAATGTCTAAAGGATCATAAGAATATTGCTAACATTGGGAAGCTATTTTAGTGAACTTATTTTAACAATAAGTTTAATATCTGAAAATATGTCCCGAAGGGTAGGCACTATTATGAAGAAAGTAATCACATTTTGCAGTATTTCCTAATATTGGCATTGATGTAGTTAGGGTTAGAAGTAGGAATATCATCTTTTTCTAACTATTATAGTTACATTTCATTCATATTATAGTATGAGTTTAGGTTCTTTTCTTCTCAATTCAGAATTATGTCTGATAATTTCTAGAGTATTCTCTCTACAGTGATTGATTATGAAT